ATATTTAATGCATTGCCTTTTGAAGTAGAGAATTAATAAAATGAGGATTGGCAAAAAATTCCGAGCGCAAAGGGTCAATTTTCTTCTCGAAAATGTCATATTAATTAAATGCGGTGGTGGAAAGCAGTTAATTAGTTACGCGTGAAACAGAATTAATTAGACCTGTATTAGTTCTCTCATTAGATCGATTTGCTCGTTTCTGATGGTCAAACGATCGTTCAATTAGCTTGCTGGCGATGTTAATTAGTGGTTCTCGATTCCGAATCGCCGTTGTACCAATAAAAATTCCAACCGAAACAAACGATGCAGTAAAATAATTTTATTTTAAAGACGTGAACGAGAAGACGGTGAAGTAAAAATTCCACCGACAAGAATGGTTTGTATTTCGAATACGAACGGTGCAACGGAACGGTTCTATTTTGAAAACATGGATGAATCGTGTAACCGCTTCTATGCGGATCGAAAATCGAGAGGGCGAGTTTACCTTCCGCTTTTAAGAGGATCTGACCGCAGCAACCGCGAGCTTTTCTACGTGACTACGCGATGAAGGAGGACGGGGCGATAAGCTATGTGGGCAGATCGATACTCTCTATCCGCAGTATGCTTCGTTGGATTCTCTGGGAGTGGAGGAGACAGGAGGTCTGTGAGATTTTTGTTTCATAAAGTGAAGAACGATGGACAACGGCGAGGGGAATAAGATGGCCGCGGGAGAATGGAATATTTAATGCCGGGTGAGAAAAGAAAGCGTGGACGATGTAAATGGGTTAAGGAGCGAACCGATGCGATGGGGAAAGGAGATGAAAAGGATTTTTCAGGGTAGAAAGAAAAGACGGAGGAATTGATTATTCGGTTGAAGAAAAAAAAAAAACATCTGAAGAGAGAGAACGGCATTAAAAGATGAAATGAGAGGGAAACAGGACATAGGCGGGGGAGTAAGAAAATTGAAGATAAAAAGAAAATGGATTGAAAATAATAAGAAAAGTAATGAGGAAAAGTTCTTGTTCTTTGCAAGCCTCTCGTGAAATGATGAAATGCAGTTATTATATTTTAAAGTAAATCTACGTTTAGAACTTTAGAAATTACTGCGTAAAAGTAGAACAAAAGATGAGCCCGATGAGGAAATTGCTATCTAAGAAAAATACAAGGAAAAAGTAAGTAGGAACGGATCGGCAAGATGGTTATGATACACAAAGAGAAAAAAGCTTGGGGAAATAAATTCCTGGAGGGTCAATCCTTTGACCCTCCTTCAATTTTATCGTCGATATCGTTCATCGCGTGTCCACAGGAACAGGCTCTTTATTTCCGGCCTGGGGCACTGAGAAACGTTGTTTCTGGTTCTCGTTTTTATCGTTATTCCACCTTGAAATTAGGGAAACTAAATTAGAGCTTTCTGTGAAGCCCGTTCTTGATTGAGAAAATGTAAATAACGCGACAATTCATGAGAATAGGTTTTTCGCAAGCTTCTCGTTTAACTCTTCGATTGCAGGCGAGTGCTTGAAAGCATCCAGACAGTATAAAGGTCTGTGACGTTCAGAGAAACAAACGTTGAAACCATGGAATCGGACTTTGCACCCTTTAATTAACGAGACTAGAAAGGATTTTAGTGGAAAAACTTGAATTTTCGAGTTGAAATAACGAACGAAACACGATTATGGGACAATATTGCGGCGCACGAAACAATGGCTGGGTAAATGATTTCGTAGCGATGGAGAGCCGGAGAGTGGTTCCCTGTATAATTATAGGACGACGGGAGAGCAAAAGGGAGCGTGTCGCTTCGGTGGGTTCACAAAGGGACGGGCGAAGGATCGGGAGAGAAAATAGGGGCTTCGCGCAAAGTAGACAGTCGAACGGATTAACCAGAGTGAAATTAATTGACTCGAAAACTGGAGGAAGGGAATTTCCAATTTTCTGGAAATTTTGTTACGAGCCCTTCAACAGTTTCGCGGATTTTGTAATAATATTTTCGAGATAGATAAATG